TCGAGTTTCCAAAGGTAAGGGATTGCTTGCGCTAAGTCACACCGCCACCTAGTGCTTCCTACCACTGTAAAGGCAAAATAACTCAGAAGGCATCTGGTTCAAATCATGAACGCCAAGTCTACAAATGAAAATAGTGCCATAAACACTGACTGGACTGGAATTCTCCTGACGCAATGCCTTATTTCCCTCAAAAAGACATGAGGACTAGCCTCTCACAATCTTAAAGAGTCACAAACACAAAAAGGTGCTGTTGTACAAGACAAGGCAAAAAATGTGTATGTCCAGGCATAGTCTGGGAGAATTGGCTCAAATCAATGTTACATACAAATCTGGTCTGTTACCAAAGAAACACAGTAAAATGCCAAAATAGACATACTGAACAAACAACAGCTTACATCCTTACAAAACAGATGCATATGAGTATCTACTCCTCCTTTGATTTAAAAAGCTGACGTAAACCACATGCTTGTGTGCTAAAATTTTAATTTCTTCAGAAAAAAAAAATCAAACAAGAAAAAGGACTTTGATGCTCAAAAACATTAATCATCTGGAAAGAACTAGCCCAGGAAAACACATGACAAATAACCACATGGCATCTCTACTTTATTCTAAGGGGGCCATCATCTAGCGTGTGTCTAGTTTCAAGATAACATCACACAGTCAGATAAGGATCTTTCTGCTGTTTCCAAAACTACATTTTGAGGTTCCTGAAGTAAAGCTGGCGCCATTATTCCGAAGTGGGGTCAAGCGCTGTTCTTGGTACATCAAGATCCAGGGTCCTTCAGCTTCCCCATAAGGAAGTCTGCACAGAAGGTCCGAGTCGCTGACGGAACCCCAGCGAGACCAGCGCTCCTGAAAGCAGGGTCTCTTCTCCCGCGTCCTCCGCCCATCAGAGCCCGCAGAATCTATGAAGTACAGAAGCCGGGAGCGTCCCCCGCCAGGCTGCCCCGGGCGGTCGCACCTTCCGCCCGGTACAAAGGGCTCCCTCTGCAGCCCACCAGGGCGGGGGGCGTACAGGGAGCGCCGCGAGGGCCGTCCTCAAAGTCGGCTCGGACAGTGCGGCCGCCGCGAGCCCCCTCCCCGCTTTCGTCCCTCCCAGAGAGAGGAGAGGAAGGCAGAGACCTGGAGGAAAACGGCGCCGGGACGGGGTCGCGGGGCCCTGCGGGGAGGCGGGCGCTCGCCTGCGAGGGGGACAGAGGGCGCCAGCGCCCCCGGAGCGGCCGCCGGCCCGTACTCCGCGCGGCACAAAGCGGGCACACGCAGGCACGCGTGGGCGCTGCCCTCGGGCTCGGGCGCTCTCGGGGAAGCTAGCGCTCCCCGGCCCCGGGCGGCCCCCGCGCCCCAGCCCACCTGCCTGGCCCCGGCGGCGCGACATACCAGCTGCTTCCGCAGCAGCAAGATGTTCTCCTCCAGGAACTTCTCCTCCAGGCGGCTCCGCGGCGCCTCCCCCGGCAGCTCCCCGGCGCGGGGCGCGGTGCCAC